TAAAAGTCTTAACGGAACCAGAAAGCCCTTCCACCCTGGCGCCGCCAAGCCCTCGGAGTCTACCGTAGAAACATAATATGTCAACCGGTGGCGGAGATCGGGGATCGGGGACAGGAGTCCCGCTTGCTAAACAGCCACTTAACAAACTTCCCTAGATGAGACAATGGCCCGTTAATGTTGCTGCGAAGGAGTGTCTCAATTTTTCACTCGCTTTTTAAAGAAGAGCCTCGGTCGCATCTCGGCCCACTGGACCTGCCCGATTTCTGAGCTTGCTCGCCGGGAGACTCCACTTCCATACAGTCCTTTGCTATTCGCATATGTCTTCCTTTCTTCTTCCTCCTCCATGTTGCGCAACCGGCCGATAGCTTCTCTCCCTTCCTCCTGCAATCTCTTTCCCAATTATAAAGGCTAATGAGAGCCACGTGGACACGCTCCGACGACGATCATGCATCCGAAAGGCTGTGATGCATTTGCACACAATGCAGCAACGACCAACGGCTCGGTAGCTGCTTCTTAGCGGCGGTAAGGAAACTTCATAAAAAGTGACAATAATTTCTACAGCTGATTCCCGTCAGCTGTCAATCCTGACGTATCACCCTTTGGATTCGATCGACATGACAGCTGTCAGATTATTCAGATACGTCGCCCAGCTCCGAGCACCTTAGTGTTTACATATTTACCATAAACAAGGCATATTCGCTATACGCTCTAAAGGGGATCAAGGTAGGTGCAGATCGATTACGTCGACCAAGAGAAATCCGAGCGTCGCTCTTCGCGGCGTAGGAATAATGAATAATTCGAATTTAAAAAAAAAAGTGAATAAAGTGACCAAAGAAAAAATAGAGAGTGACGTAAAGTAAAGGTAATTTTAGTTAAATTCCTGAGATTGGCTCACGGCACGTTTTTCGCTATATCGCAGGGTAAAGATGCGACTGTCTTGATGGCCGAAGGTGCCTGGAAAAAGGTTATCGCCACTCGAGCAGATCGTACCGGTCATGCGATATTGCATATTGCATAGGAAAGGATACGGTGTTTGGAAGAGAGCAAAAAGGACATCCGACGGAGAGCGGAGGAGCAAGAGTTGCCGGACGGCGTCCTTGTTAAAAATTGAAAAAGTACTTGGCGCGCGAGTCGAGTCAGTCGAGCGAGTTGAGTCTCTGGATAATTGCAGTTCACGTATGTCTATATATATACACGTAGCTACGAGTGTCTTCGTCTCTCTCTGTCGCTCCTTCGTCCTCTCGCATCCACGGGGCTCAGTCCCTCTCACTCTCACTCGCGTAACAGCAACGCCGGATAACCCGGAGACCATAAAGTAAACGATAGAGACAATATTCTCTTGAACAAACAATGGCTAAGTTAGAGCGATCATAAACAATCTCCTTCTTATCCGCAGGCCGTTAGCACTGAATAATAATTTTAAGAAAACCTCGAGGTTCCACACAGTCTTACCGTGTACTCTTAAACATCCCCCACTCTTTATCATTCACGACCATATCAGACGTATCTATAATGGGATCGCTTATTTAATTTGGAGCACTCGAAATCATTTAGGGACACCCAATAGCACGCCCACTTTGCTAAAGAAACCAAAGGATAAATATCAGTCAGATATTTATGATCAGCTGTGAATTCGAAGCTTTGATAACTTTGCTGTATTTATTTATTCGATTCCACGTATCATTGGTGTACTGGGATATTTATTTTTTTCTTATTAAATTCAGAATGAAGGCATCTCCGAACAGTCTGAGAGTTTCAACGGAGACGAATCAGCGAATTTTGAAAATGGCATTTCCGTCCGATTCTCTGGAGTATAATAATATATTTTTCCTAAAAACAAAAGGTATAATGGAGATTGATCGAATTCGCTAAATTGGTCAAATTGCTCGAAGCCGAACTCGGTGGGCCGTAAACGCGAAACACGGTCACTCTGTAATATCGATCGAGTCGCCGATTGTGTAATTGTAATTAAAGCAATCTTGTAATCGTAAGTCGGTATAATTAATGAACTGAATCGTGCTGACGCTCCGAGTGTCTATCGGCGAGCAGGATCGTGCTCTACCAGTGAGTAAGCGCAATTTGCCATATTGTCTCTAATAATCTTAGCTAATTAGTTTTGTCTCTAATTCATATCAGTTGTTAACTCAAGCGTATTCCGAATTGCCGAATCGCTCGCAATCGCCATTGGTTTGTTTTCCTTCTTCTAGGAGGATCCTGAGTAAAATTTTAAAAAATGCATTTTTAACAAATTTAAAAATTACTCGTCATTCCCCTGTTGCCGTACACTTTCCGTAATAGACAGCAAGGTTGGTCCGATCTAAAAAATAAAAATGTCATTAGGAAATAATTAAGAGAAGATTCTCTTGGACGTTTTAAAAAAAACATACGTTTACCTGGAAATGGCAGCGCGATTTTATTCTCCGTATGAAAAGCATTGAGCTAGGGTCCCAGTATGCGCCGACTCCCGGGTTAAGAACCTTCCCCGTATCCATCCTCGTGTTAAATATACATATCGTCCAGTCTTTCTGGGAAGAATCCACAGGGCAAATGCAGGACGCCATTTCCTATCTGCACGTGCTCCAGTCCAGTCCGCCATTTAATAGCGTTACTTGTTGCTATTTCTATTAGGAGTTACCGTCCCAGCTTTCCAGCTATCTCGACAGCGTCTAGACACGAGCGCGAACTAAATGGAAACACGCAACGTCGACATGGACTCCGCACTCTTCCATCCCTTCTCTATCTTCCTATTATTTCTTATTATTCTCTCTGGCTCTCTGGACTCTCCTCTTCCTCCGCTCAACAGGTCCAATTGGAGATTCCGGTTTACCTGGTAAAATTACGTACATCCATGAGACAGGGTTCGGCGGGCTTTTGAAAAATTTTTTAACGGGACGTAAGATCAACTTCGATGGGTGCATAACTTTAGAAATGACTCTAACAGCTCCGCAGAACAATCAGATAAGCATAAACGCCCGCGCGCGTTCTTACATAACAGTCCGTGTTACGTGTTACGCCGTAGCCGTACGAGAAATACTTGGTTATACGGTGCACGTAACAAAACACTTCTCCTTGCCAAAGAAAGGGATCTCGGCCATTAGTGCTGCCAGATCACTGCACGAGATTGTTCGCGAAGAGTGTCTCGTTCATTTATTTTTTTTTGTATAAAGTTCACTGTCGAAAATGAGAGAGAAAATAAAAATAATAAATAAAGGCCAAAGCCTTTCGAGCACAATGCTTTTTGTTATCTTGGCTGTTGTGTTATGTTATGTTAAGCATGCATTGCACCTGATATATAGCACGACGCATATTGATCTCTCCTGGCAAAATGGCTTGTGGGATGATGATGATAATGATGATGATGATGATGATGATGATGGAACTTCGGAAGGAGATTTCTTCAATGGCGTAACGTTATACGTAATGACGAAGCTTTAAAAAGTTTCTAGAACTCTAGTAAGGAGACCCCCCGCAGTCACTCTCGTAGTCCTCAATGTAGCTCAGATGTTATCTTTAGCATTATCCATATAGTGGAGAGCAACCTATAAACGTAAACTTGGACGTTAAATGTCTTGAAGTCGATGAAATTAGCTTCGCGTTAATACCTCAACTTTCATTATTACGATACTTCTGTTTTACTTTTTAACGACGCTTCGCGATCTAATTTTTGATAGCACTTTGAATATATTTGTATGTCTTTTTAAGGACGTTATACGTGTTTTCGTAAAACGACTTCTAGACGGAATGAAAAGTCTGTGTTATCTAGTTATTAGCTTATTACTTACATTTTTGGAAAACAAATAATCCAGCAGGGCTTGTATTCCTTTGAGCACACTGTATCGTAAATGAATCTGAATATCGTTGGTTTGATTTAACTCTAGAGAGAAGCTACAACGAACGACATCTGTCGTACAACGCGAGAATCCCCAATCAAACATCTGTATATGTATACCACTAAATGCTAATTACACGGGCACATTCTTGAAAATGATTTTACATCGAAAATGCAAATAATTTCGATTTGCGTTTGATTGAAGAAAAATATCAACGTCAATCTTGAAGAATTCGATGTCACGTGACGCGGATACTCGGTGAATCAAGTTACCGACTGGGAATGACGTTATGAATGCTCCGAAAGATGTTACCGACGGCTACACGGAGTAACCAGAGATGAATAGGGAGTTGCCAATAAGCCGATTTTCACGGTCCAAATTTAACCCCCAAAAAAAAACACATACATGTAAAGAAAACTATACCAGGTACAGGAGTGCTGTGCATTCCTCTCACAAAAACTATTGAAATCATATTAATAATGCCAAGTACATAAGTCACTACATACCTGTTTATTATATGCTCAGCACTATCACATCATTTTAATTGTATTTTCAAAGTTTAATATAATGTCTTCGCTATAATATAGCGCATAGTATACTACGTACTAAAGAATATATTTGTAATATACGAATGAGTAAAATGTTTAGTAAATAATATTCCAATGTCCGGTATACTAATGTTCACTGTAAACACAACCGAAATCCGAACATTGACAACGGTTCCCGAAGGCAGCGTAGTACATGTAAGTGGGAATGGTTGCCTGTTTCGCAGGGGACGTATCGGCTCGGGGCCTTCATTTTAGGGGGCTTAGATCGTGTGTTTTTGATCTGCAGACGACTTTGTCCAAGCCTTTGCACGCAACTTTAATATTTTTATAATAATTTGTATCTAATTGTATCCTTATCCTTATCCCCGAAAGGGATTTCCCTTGGGTCTCACAGCTCAGGGGTTAACCCGACAACGATCCGGTGTTGGATCACGGAGGGACAGTTGCTCCTTTATGGAGAGGCAGTATCTCACGGAAATGGGCGAGGAGAGGCCCATTTCACAAGAATTTTTATTTATCCCTTTTTCCATTTTTTTCCATATCATTTTTCCTTTTACAAAATCTTTTTGAACATTTTCAACGCAAGGAACATTAAAATAATTGTACTCTATCACACGAAAAATATTTGTGTTCGCACAGTTTATTAAAATAGAGAAAAATACATGTTTGAATAACTATGAATTTCAGGTAGAGACAAGCGGAATCCTCTATCAAAGCTGCTGCAAATACTCAACGATAAAATTACAAAAGTGAAATGTCAATAGTTATAAATTATACTAGCAGCATTCGAAAATTCATGTTTTAATCATAACTTGACAAACAATAGGATTCAGGATAAGAATAGCTTGTGAAAAGACGCGTGGTGGTTTAGTTTAGCTATATAATTTACAATATGATGTAACAGAGGTGTTGAGCAATTAATGTAAAGAATATTTTATTTTAAAAACACAGTGAACAGGTCCTTAGAATTGCCAATCATTATAGTATTAATAATAACGAATTAAGGTGAAAATTTTATAGTTTTTCGGTTTTACCGGTTTAAAATTACAATATTTACACATCAATCATAATGTTTGACGAATGACGAACGGCACTTGGAGTACTGCTTACTATCAAAATAAAGCTCTTATGATAAATTGTCATTATACTATTCATGGAGGATGATTCCTTCGGTAAATATAGCATTATCTCATATTATTATGACTTATGACTCTATGTACTTTTAAAGCTTAATCACTCGGATTCTGGTTGAACAGACAAATTCTATTCTATAATATTCCATATATCCAGACGCTCGATTAATTTCTCTTATACGCAGATGATCCATCTGACGGTATTGAGAATACAGTGAAACTAACGTTAAAATAAATAAAAATACGTGTACATTGAATTATTATGCAATATTCAAATGATATTTCAGCTTCGAGATACCGCTTGAGACATCATTTGCGATCAGGCACATCAATAAGTGTATCCACCTTGAGATTCCGGCTGCTTAGAGTTTATGTACAAAATATATACTTGAAAATTTCTAATACTAACAAAAAGTCTCTTTGAGTAAAATTAAAGAATTAGATTGTTTGTACGTATGTTGTAAATCGATAAGTTTATGAATTAATTGAACTTTACCTATAGTCGTTTAAGAACGGCTATTAATTATAAGTATAGCGAGGCTAGGGAGACGGAGGCAGTTTTGTCTTATTGACAATCAGTTTCGTAAGTAATTAATTATCAGGTCTGAAATAACATCTACTGTACAATTAATTAAAAATGCTGAAAGATACGTCGATCTAGAATTAAAACGCGATCATCAGCTGGATCCAGAATCCTTTTTAATGTACATCCATATCGAATTTATGTCCTAAGGGTTCCGGGTAGCTACGTTTGTACATACAGAAGAATCTTCGAACTTTATAATCGTAATTACAATACGCATTTCACAAATGTCATGGTTGGAAAGAATCTACTTTTCGCCGACCATCATTTTCCAGAAATGCTGTTATGGCCGCTTTGAAAAATTCCTTAACCACTTTATCTGCCATCGATTCGAATTGCCTAATGGCGACTTACTAATATTACTTTAATGACAGTCTCGGTATTGCATTGAACATAGCACGATGTGCTTTATGGATCGCAACAGATAGCTCAGCCTTATTTACAACATCAATCTCATTATCAGTTCGAAGAATAATATCGTGAAGAGAAATACGCAGATTCGTCCTTAAGTCGAAAGAACGTGATTAATGTTTACGCGTCTATTCGAATGATCAGTACACACATTTTACTTATTAGAGGATGTGTCAGAGCATGGACACGTCGTTAGGTTCGCGTTCTTCCGCAAGAATGGACCTTCTCTCTTCAAGCTGTAGAGCGCTTCCGGCGTTTGTGTTTCTATCGGAAGTGCTTATCAAATTGGCCATTCCAGGATGGAGGTTAACATATCTTGGAACATGCTTCTGTGTATTCTGGTTTTGTTGAAGCTCGACGTATTTCACTGGGGTTTCTGTAGTCGGAAGTAGCAGCCTCGAGCTTTCCGGTTCAGAGATGGAGCATCCTTCTAGTAGACGACTCGTGTTGCCATTTTCGTCGTTATTCTCTATATCCAGAAGAGGAGGATTCGGCATCTCAAATGGCATCACTCCTGTGGACGTCAGTTTGAACTTTGACAAGGAGATTGAGAATTTCTGTAAGTTCTCCGGAAGTTGAATATTGATTTGATCCGTGTGCTGCAATTGGACGCTGGCCAGAGGAACGTCGAGACACGGAGCGAGGATCCGCGGATATGTTGCTAGGAAATCGACTATTTCCGGTGCAGTTGGTCTCTTTGTGTGGTCCACAGTCCAGCAGGATCTTATCAAGCCCTCTCTTTAACAAAATGTTAGTACCGGAAGTGTGAATTAATTCAGAAACATGAGAAGCGCGTTAAGGAAGCGATACAATTGACATTGACTTACAAATGAGGCTTTATTCCCCGGGGCACTGTCAGAGAATTTCCGGCCTTAACGTAAGTGAGTACTTGATTGTTACTCATTCCTTGAAAAGGAAAACTACCAAAGGTGATAATTTCATAGAGAAGGACACCGTACGACCAGACATCCGAGGCTGGGGTAAAGATGCCCAATCCCAAAGATTCTGGCGCCATCCACCTGACGGGCAACATTCCTGTAAAAGGATTTAGATCCAAGTAAAGTCACTTTTGATACCCGGATGGTCTAAAGAAGATGAGTCGGGCAAGACGAGAGATAGATACGGACCGGAAGTAGCGTTCTTAAATTTTAATACTGAAGCTGACTCTTCCTTCGAATAAGTCTGATTCGATAAATGACCTCACCTCTCCTCGTACTTTCTTTAGGACGAGACAGTTTAGAAGGGGATGCGTGGCAGAGACTTGAAATCTTGAAAATCTTGGAAAGACGCAACAGCCGGTCTGGTTCACCTTATAGAGAAACGCATTGATCAGGCGATCAAGTGATAGACTGGAGGACACGAACGAAGGCTCCATATGAGGGCAGTTTGTGCGAAACGTCTTTCGTTTTCATATTTAACTATTTCTCACGATCAAAGGATTTTACAAAATTTCGAACGTCCGTTTTTCTCAACCATACTTTAAGAATCCAGTTGCAGAGGAGAACCTCGAATTTGGTCGGATTGGCTCGTCTTGCCCCGAACCTTCTTCCGAATCCGTCAGACACAAATTGCGCAGATTTACTTACCTTTACGATTAAATTTATAGTAGTCATTCTCGTACATCGGCCGAGTCATTCCAAAGTCCCCAAGCTTAACAACTCTCTGAGCATTGACAAGGCAATTTCGCGAGGCTACATCTCTGTTAACAATTAATTTCAAATGGTCCATCAAAACTTTATTAGAGGTTGCATCATTTATAACTTACCTGTGAACGTATTTCATTTGAGCCAGGTAACTAAGAGCCCTGGCTACGTCCATAGCCATAGCTGTCAGCTTCTTATTTGAAATCTCATCTGACTCCTCGTAATTCTGATCATTAACGAGATGTCTTCGAGCTAAGAGGTACGTCTTAAGGTCTCCATAAAGCATGAACTCCATTACAGTGAGAACCGGCTCGCATTTTATACAGACCGCAAGTAGCTTTATGATGTTCTTATGCTCGAATCTCTTCATCACTTCGACCTCGCTGAGGAAGTCGAGTTTCTCATCGGTCGTACTGCCGACCTTAAGAGTCTTCACGGCAACAGCCAACCAGCCCTTCTCCGGGAAGAAGGCCTCCCCGCCGTAGACAGTGCCAAAGGCGCCTTCGCCAAGTTTTCTATTGATGACCACCCGGTCGCGTGGAATTTCCCACTTGTCCAGCCCTGAGGTATCCGACGGAAGGAAATCGAGTCCCAGAGACTTCATATATTTTTCATGAACACGAACCTTTTCATCGTATCTGATTTAAAAAAAAAAAAAAAAAAACAGGGAAATTACAAGAAGTAAATTCCTTGAAAGAAATGCTTTGGTCTCTCATTAAAATATTTTTCTTACTTCCTCTTAACAATGATGAACCCAATGATTAGCAAGGCACCAAGAACTCCAAACCCGATGACGTTCGCTACCACTATGGCTACCTCGCAGGAGACATCTAGGAGCTCAGCCAAACCTGACAGAACGCATTTCTGCGGTGGTTCCGAACCATCGTCTGGCATTTCCTGCGACAGCCAAACAATCGCTGACATGTTCAGAACAAGTTCTCCACCTACGATCTCATTCCTCTCCTCGGAGATGTTGGGACGGAAGTTGCCTACGACTCTGGTCTCGTTATCGACGTGCTGGATGACGGAGATCTCGGAGAACCTAGAGGGGCCACCAAGAAATTTGATCCAGCCGGAAACCTGCGTTGATATAAGCGACTATTAAAGTCATACCCGCTGTTCGTATTATCATTAATTAAAGTCAAAGTTACAAACCCCATGAAAATCGGTCCTCCTGATGATGTCCGTTAATCTATTAACCGTGTGATCAGAATGTAGATCAAAAACGTAGCTCTGATTCTCCTTAATTAACTGATCCATTGCGTAACCGTAGGTCCACATTGCGTCGTAGGTGTATCCCGCGTAATTCGACGGAAGCTCTTTATTCCTTTCGCAAATATTCTCGTACTTGTCTCTCCATTGCCGCACCGTTATACCCTCCTGCATGATCTCTTCGTCGGCGGCAAAGTATGCATGGGTCAATCCAAAATATCCATTAGTGGCGTTCATCATCTCCTCGGTAGTGCAAACGACCTGTTCTCCTCTTTGGTTATAATAATCCGTGTCGTACCAGCGGGGCAGGAGCCACAGTGGTAGAAACCATACGTAACCCTTTGCAACAAAAATATGTATAAGGAATTGTTTTAATTAATTTCAATGAATGAAAAAAAAATAAAAAGACTCACCTGCACAGCCGTCATACCCAATCTGTATGCTTCGCACATGACCTGTCGAGCTACTTGATCGTTTACGTCAGCAATGATAATTTTGGCCCTATTTTCCTTGAGCTGCTGCAAGTACTGCAATCAGAATATAAGAAACGTCCTTAAGATCGGACCAAAACATTGTGTAATTTGAACATATAATGGCCCTGTGTTCAAGAACCTGCAACTTACCCTGGACATGTCCTCGCTCTCGTGTTCTCTAGGAAATTTAAAGTTGGCAATGAAGGTGATACCATTTTCCTGAAGCATATCCTGCATGGAGGATATGTATTCGGTGTACCTCTGACCGTCCTCAGTGAGAGCAGCGACCCGATGCCAACCAAGTTGCTGGAGTAGTCGAAGATAAACGTGCTTGTACTGTTTGTTCTCGCCGATCGTCCTGAAGAAGTATGGATACTTGGTTCTATCGGTGAAAGTGGATCCTTCGGCTCCGTAGCTGATGATGACAGTCTTGTAGAGCTTCGAGACACCGACGAGAGGCTCGACCGTTTCGGAGCAGGCTGGTCCCAGGATGCCGACGAGCTTCTCGTAGTCGACGTTCACCAGGTAATCGATGTAGGACTTCATGACCATGTCCGTTTTGCACTGTCCGTCTTTCGCGTGCAGCATCAAGTTGTAATCTCTCAGGACCGTCTCGTTGGCGTTGATGGCCTTCCTGGCCAAATTAGCAGCGACCATGATGGACTTGGCAGTGTAGGCCGTGCCAGTAACGGGGAAGATCCCACCGATGTACAAAGTGTTCTTATCCTCGTCATCAGGCACCCAATAACGTAAAGTATAATTAAGGTTTTCCTTGAGCCAATCACAGGCGATGCTCTCTTCCATTTCTTTGTCGAAATCGTGATCGTTCTCGATAGGGAGCAATCTCCTATCCGGAAACCTGTTGTACCGGTCGATCAGATCCTCGTACATGCCCTGAGTAAAATTGGCGCGATTTATTGCCTCGTAGGCAAACTTCGCGACTGACTCGAGTTTGGCCCAGGTTAATTTGACCAGTCTATTTAATTCGTAGGTATAATCCCTGTTTCCGTTCAACGACCCAGGAAATAGAAGGCTCGTATAATCTTTCTCATTTGGGATCACAGAACTCGGGGTCCAGTGCAGGATCGTTATCGATTTCTCATCGTCTCCTCGTATTAGATATTCCTTCGTTAGATACTCCACCAGGTTAGCAAGGTTGGGTCCGACCCAGACGACCTTAACGTACAGGTTCAGCCGGTCTATCTGATCCTTGACGAACCTGGTGACGTCGGCATGTGCAGCCAATAGCAAAGCACAAGGCTGATCCTTACCACCGAGGGATTGGCACCGACTTGGAATATACATTCCATCCTGGCAAAATGATTCCTTGCAGTAGTAGGAGCCATTCGCCTGATCAACACTGAAGTTCCTTATGGTATTTAGAAGCGTCGCGTTGGTCACGTCGAAGCGCGAGGAACTTTCCTGTCTGGTGAAGGTCAACCAGGTATCCTCGGCCTTGCCCAATCTCTCAGGAACGAACCATCCAAAGTGACCTGGTGCCGTGACAGAGCCGCAGAGCTTGACGTCGTACTGCTTCAGCAGGGGGGTCGTGTCCTCGTCCGGTGGTATCCAGAGTTCCATATTCACCATAGTCTCTGGAATTCTTTAGAAGAAGAGTCCTGAGGTTCAGGTCCACCTGGTCCAAGTCCAAGTGAGGAATTAAGGATGTCAGGGACATACTTACATGCTCCGCTGGACATTCTTAACACGATCCGATAACCTGGCGAAGGTCTCGGAGACGTTGAAGTTGTCGTCCTTCTCGATGAACGCGATACCCGGATAACCCAGAACTTCCTCGAGGAATATTTTCATTATCCAAGAGGCTAACCTCTGGGTGATCCTCCTCGAGAGTTCAAAGTGGATGTTCAAGGACTCCCCATTCAGATGGATAACCCGCTTTGGATTGACCTCTGTATCGGATCACACGACAGACGTTCGAAGGTCTCGCGAAAAATGGTTACAATTTTCTTATTTAATAAAATTAATATTACCTTCGCGCATAGTCAGGCACTTATTCGATTGGGAGAGCTTAAAGACGGCCAGGATGATCAGAAGGCCAAGGATGGATCCGGGTCTGGACATTTTGACCGACCTTTGAGCCTCCTCCTGAAAAGAATACGAAGAAAGGATATTTCCAACGCCAAGTGAAGCCCGAAGGACATTAGGCTGCAGGTCGTTTAGTGTGGTAATTCCGAACGAGCAACGAGTCGAAGAAGCAACGAAGGATGAAGACAAATAAAGAGAAAAGCCAGACAAGTAAATATCAGTGCAACTGGCTGCCTCTTATTTCGCCATAATCAATTTTTCTTCTCCTCCGGTCTTTGTTATTTTCGCCTGCTGTTTCAAGCGGCTCGCCGGGCCATTCCGAGGCGACGGTGACCAACGGAGAAACAAATATTTTAATACTCTCGGTCATAACAATAACAAGAAAAGGCGCTTCTCGTTAATTAAACAATTAACGCACCTGTTTATGCATTATACTTACCAATTAACCCGTGTCCAACTATCCAATTAGTACATCGCGCTTATACGTCTCTGTGTACACGCGCTTGTCAGTACATGCGTCTACTTAATCAAGATCCAATTTCAGAACTTCATTAGCAGCAGCAACAAATTAACGAGATTATAAGATATTTATTGAGCTCGAACGAATCGAAATACATTGCGACTCCGACTGATCGATTTACGGGACGAAAACAAAAATTCTTTCGATTAGAGAAAGCAAAATTTGTTCGTTGGTTAAAAAAGAAAGTTTATGGGAAAAGAGTATTAATGAAATATCTTTACAAAGACGCGTTCAGTGAACGCAGGGCCGTCGGCTGCCGGATGGAAGAAGCGAAGGAGAAGAGAGAGACAGAAAAGGAGAATCAGAAAAGGAAACGGGAGAGAAGGAAAGGAAACATGGCATAAATATTTGCTTGTGTAACTTATGCCAAATTGGCACGAGGAAAGTGTGTCGTTGAATTTTATTAAAAGACACAGTTGGTTTATTTCGATCATTCTTTATCCCGGGAGATTTCAAGCTGAATAATTCACGGGGTCTGCGACCCTCGAAAAATCCTTAATTCTATACGACCAATAACAAAATCTAGGGAAGCAGGTGAATTCAAAGAAATAAAAAAAATTTTCACATTTTTTACATGGAATTTACTATGTATTTTTTCAAAATGCCCGCTATACGCATCCAATTACTATTAACGACCCGGACCACTGTAATTGTCGGGGGTCAATAACATAAAACGTGGCCGACTAATGAAATCGGTTGACGGACTGAGTGTGGAAAAAAAAAGTTTTGGGTCATCGACGGTGACAAGGCCAATACTAAATTAATGACAGAACTTCCCAATGGGTGGTTAATTTAACGACGTCTGCCGTCGGTTACGTCACTGGCACGGGGAACCGTAGGAGATAGGAACGAGGAGCAGTTGTAAAGTCCAACTGTAGCAACTCGTCGTTCTAATTGACAAATCAAATTGGAAGGAACAACTTGAAACAAATTTTACGAGCAAGTGGTTGACCTCGTCATCCTCTAAAACGACACTAATTCGAGCCTGGCTGGGAGGAGTGGGACGCGGAGGCTCCACGAGGATTTGGTAGCGAAACTTTTTACATTAAATCGATATAAATTTACATGGTAACGAAATAAGATACGACAAAGCTAATAAACTAATCAAACACGAGCGTCTCTTATGACGGGATTTTTAAAATATATTGAACACCTGTATGTAAATATGTTATACTTGGGTATTGAGGATATTCAATATGAGTGAATGAATATACAGAATCCGAAACCCGCGAGTATTAATTGGTCGTTGAACAGGAATTCCGTTGGGCAATTCTATTTTGACGTATCCCTCCGTCGGTAACATCACCGCCGCCCTTATCAGTACCGCCACGTGCCGCTCTACGTACCTACGGGAGAGATATGGACAGCAAGTGTAACTATCAAGGCCAAAGACGTTGCCACGCCTGGACGTCGGCTGTGGCCTTTCGTTTCCCTGGCGGCGCTTCCCTTTCCTACTTTCATATAAAAAAAAGACACAAACCAGTAAATTTGGAATTTCCTATTGTGAAACTCGCTAGATGCTTGTCTGAGATTCCTACTTATATTTCAAAAGCTTCGCGTGTCTAATAAACTCGGAGAAGTTACGACGAGCGCAGATTTGTATCATTCGACGCGACTGTTTAACGATCGAAATAAATAAATAAATATTTCCATACGACGAGCCTACAAAATATTTAACATTTAGAAGCTGGATCTGCTGCCAGCATTTACTGGCTAATATAATATTTGAAATACGAGCCATTTCTTGGACTTAGTCATAATGCGCCTTACGGTTTGCCATTGCTGTTTAACGAGAGAATCCGAAATCGCATTACCTCCTAATACTCTAAAGACGTCTCGAGAACGACGAATGAGTAAGTCCCATTTGCATAAACCGACAGAATCAACAAAATGCTGTTATTTCGCGTAACCATACCCATATATTTTCTATGGAGCAGATAAAAACGAAAACACGGTTTAACCAGACGCACCCGAACGCGGCTTCGACTTAAGCTAGAATCACAACCGTCGAGAACGATAGGTGGACGTCAACGAGTGCTGAAAATCCAACGATAGGCGAGCCTCACGTTACGTCATTCTGACAACGGTCAACGAAACAAGAGTTACATTTCTTCTCGCTTATCAGCCGTCAAGGATGTTTAGTCAGGCGAAAAGGGACAAAAAAACGTGTAGAGCATCACGAAACGTTACGACGAGCTAGAAACGTGCCACCCGATGTTGTTGGTGCGGAGTAGCGAGTTGAGAGAAAAAGAGAGAGTTAGTTGGAGAGTAGAGAAAGAGAGAGAGAGAGGGGGGGGAGAGAGAGAGAGAGAGAGAGAGAGAGAGAGAGAGAGAGAGAGAAATATCCCTGATGCAATTTCCATAAGAAATACAATTGTAGGATATTTTTAGAAATGTTGCGACAGCTGCTCAAAAGCGTCGCCAGTGACGATAGAGGGAATTAACACGTTGAACGCCGCGTCAACCAGCAGATCTGGCTGACGGCTACGTTTCGTGGGAGCCCCGTCACCCGTAAGTGGGTGACGTTCCACTTGATTTCGGTTGAATGGAATTTTAAAAATATTTAATGGAATTAAACAAAATCTAAATATAAACGCTCCGCGCACCTCCCGTATAATAACGACTTCGATAATGATTTTAAGGCCCCGCAGGAAACCGAAGATTTTCGCTGGGCCTGAAAGGCGTTTAAGAGGAGCGTCGACCGGGCGTCTGGAGCCGTCGGCAAGACGTCGGCCGATGCCTCGACTCGCGACAGCTGTCGCCTCTGGCGAGAAATAGGAAGCGGGCGACTCGTTGCCAAACGTCATACAGTAGGACCTCAATTTTATGGAACTCGATTTTATGGAACTCGATTTTATGGACAAACCCCACTTTCTTGCTAAGACTTTATACAGTGGGGCGCATGTGCGCTCCCCCAGCCAGTACCGTAACTACACTCTAGGGTCGGCAGCCATCCGGGCCCGTTTATAGTTTATAATCGAAGGGATGCCACGACCATATGATACGGTACTGTCCACAAGCGCGCGAGTGGCTATACGCATTGTAGGGGCGGAGCTTAGAACCTCGATTCTGTGGACTTCCGGTCCCGACTTGTCCATAAAATCGAGGTCCTACTGTAATAAGAACTTTTGCAAAATATATTTTTCTCAGCCATACGCGGCCGACCGAAAGAAATCGTTTGCTCGACAATACCCGGTAGAAAAATATAAACGACAGGCCAGACGGAAAAGCTTGATGACTGCTGCACGCAGGTGTAACCCTGACTGGCGGTTGATGAGCGGCAGTTAATTGACGCTTGGCTGGCGAAAACAAAAGGAGCAATGCAGTTTTCGCGACGGACTTTCGCAAGTGGGCGTTATTGACGCAATAGAGCCGCCCGCACGAATAAACGCTAGCAATTTAGTGGCATCGAGTCGTCAGTCCATTCGCCGAGGCGTTTAAGTGGCACGACCTATGAACTCCGTTATCACCGATGAATAAAACAAGCGCGACATTGATGTCCGTTTCGTATTACGTTTATCCCCGCCGATGGCCGCCACGCGTGATACCAAACAGGCCGTACGAGCGTATATGGAGAAGAGCGTCTCGATGGGTTCGCTGGTAATCAGATCGATGACTTTCCGTAACCCGCTTGGAATTAGAAGTTCCTTTTATTCTCTACACTGAAAACGTTAATCTGACCACGTGGCACTGTCATGGCGCTACGATGTGTGGACGTCGCTCAGGAAACGCCTCCACGCTCCCCGGAAAAAAAAAAAATAAATAAAAAAAAAAAAGATCCTAGGCGTTTGACCCGCGATAAGTGAATTCACTGAAGGCACGAGAGAGAAAAATTATTTTTACCATCGTCCCGTCGCAGGGCGTCGGCGTCGGTCGTAGTTTTATTCGAAATCCATGGGTCTCTCGTAAATCAGTCCTCCAAGGCGACTTCGTTCTTCCGGCGCAATGCACGTGTGAGCGCATACGCGAGAAGCACGTGGTGCAACCTTAACGAGGCATAATAACTCCAAGTCGTTACGGGCGATAACCTCCGGTGTACACTGTGACTCCGTGATAACAGGCCTGCAAAGACTACGGCAAAGACCGCTACGAACAGACACAGGTTTTATGACAATGAATTGCAGAGAATTGGATAATGTGAGTTTGCGTACTATTGCCAATAGATTGTGTATAGGTACATCGTACTGTGTTACAGACTCGTGGAGATAACGCGAATTCGATGGACTCGTTGGACTCGTGAAATTTTTTTTTTTTTTTTTTTTTTTAATCAACTTTTATCACTCTGACTTCAATGCGGCTTAGTAGAGTATTGACACCGGGATTTATTGCCATCAGCTGTTATCGACAGGTGATTGATTGAACGTTTGGGCACGTGTAAATTATTATTTGGACAATCTATAATGACCGAGCGTACCGATAGTGTTTTATCGATTGAGAATGAGGGTCACGCAGGTTAAGAAAATGGAAAAGCAATGCTGTCGATGTTAAGTTGAAACTGCTTTACGTCATTTGTTTGCGTCGATCCTTTATTCATCTCGATCGATAAGGATAAATAGGCTGTATGGGAATATTTGTGCGGCAGGTTTGTATGCTGGTGGGATATGGCAAAAAATAGATTGTTGTTATCGTAGCGCAGCTATTACCTCGGCACGTGCTTTGTTGGGAATAAAGTAAAAGGTCATCACTCGTTAACTGATATCTGGTTCGAATTACTTAACAATTTATTTAATCGATTTGAGTTTTTTTGCAATTCGAGTGCCTTATGTAACGCGAGTGGAAAATATAAAATTATGAGAATCCTTTACGCAAACATCTCTTTTGCTCGAGTCGGTTAAATTGCGCGAATTCCACATATTTTCGCAATTCGTCTAAATCCTTTAATGTATCCTCAATATTTTTCTTTTATACTTAATTTCTTTTTGTTTTACATGCTCCGATACGTAAATAGAGGATAGTAACGATAAAGGTAGATCCACAAGTGATTATTAATTCTTGTATAAAAAGTCCAGTCCGAGTGGTACACTCGTTGTCAAAAATATATTTGGCTAATCGGATCGTACGCACTTGGGATTGCGTAAAGTAGCTTCGGAGCGTAAACGAAAACAAACCGCAGGCAACAGCCAACAGCCAAGAAGCTTTATTTATACGAAAGAATCAGTTACTTTAATAATAGAATAGCACTAGAAGGACGACACTTTGTCGCAAAAGTACCGATCGCGATAACAACTATCGCCGATAACTTTCCCAACTGAGAACAAGCTTGATAACGATCGAGTCATTTTTAGTCGAGTTACTAATTCTGGAAACAGATTCAGCATCGAATAAAAAGGTATTTCCGAAATTTGAAAGATTGTATTTTTGTTTTTTTTTTTTCCAAAAAAATTCAACATTCTCAAAAGTCAACTCGTGCGTCAATCGTTCTTCCCCATTACCCGATTCAACGAAACATTTTTTCTACCATATCAGAAAGACTTGTTGCGCGTGTAATCTTATCGGCCGATGTATATACCTACGTAGGAAGAAATTATGAAACCGCAAATGCCTGACGCATACGAACGAAGTGCGAATGAAAATTTAGTAATCTGGGACAAGCCAGATATTTTTTGTCGATTAAAATATATATGTAAAACATGATATTTCTCTCTACCCGATTAGCAATAATCGTAAGCACGAAGGACACGCGCAAATTCGCAAACTACTATTTTCCGTCCTCGCGTCTTTCCCAGTCAACTTCCTCTCGAACTTCTTATGTACCTACATTGCCCATTTACACGCGCCACGCCATGCTTTCCCTCTTGATGCGCGCAAACAACTTTACGAGCGTTCCTAGAATAATTATTAACACACGCTCAGACCAAGCGAAGCGAGTCAACATTCGCATATCCAACTCTCCCGGCCACGTCGCACGCGGCAAGGTTTGCCATTTGCAGCTCGCAAAAATATACAGTGAACGCGTAGCGTGTGTGACGGATCATTGAGTCACATATCACAGAAATAAATTTCATTGAGACGTTGCTCTCTCCATTCATTTCCAAATCTGCAGTAGGTCTTAATCGCGCCTTCGCACTCGTTCCCTCGCCATTACTACGATTCCCTATGAAATTACAATTCACGTTCGAGAACACTAGATTCAGACGGAGAATTCATGATATATCTCACACAGGAAATGAATAACAGCTGAAAAAAATTCTACGCGACATATCATCGGCGTAAGAATATCCCGGTGCATGCCGCTTGAAAATTAGTCACGGGTCATTATACGTAATAATAATAAAATGACAAGCCACAGACAATGAATGGATTATTCAACATCGAATCCATGTATGTATCGCTGCAGGTTGATATCCTCCGCTCCATCGGCGAGCAGCTCTTGGCCACCGATCTCGCGAAAACAAAGCAATCAAGGCGCGGCAGCGCGCTGCATGTTCCTGGTCTATTAATAAATTCCGGTAAACGGCCGAGTTGTGCATTCTCCCGAGCCGCAACCAAAGACCACGAGGTTTTCACGTGTGCGCAACGAGTCGCGCGAGTGGTGAAAATTTATCAAGTGGCGAGGAGATACACGAGAGTACGAACGACTGTGATGCCCAGAAATTGGCGGATCTCGCCTCTACCTTGAAAATCCACGTGCGCCCGAACTTTGTTATTTCCTATCCGTCCAGCGGTATTCACGTTTTACGGAAAAGTGTATTCGACCATTAGCAGGCGTTCAAACGTCAAAAGAAAAGGCTTGTAAAAATTCAACAAGTGTCTGCCGCAAGAGAGATAAGGAATAACACAGTGAACTACGCAGTTGAATTTTCTAGGCGAAATTCTGACAACGCGCCGCCGCTACCGAGGGACTTCCCTATCTGACCCCCGCATCCATTCGTCTTTATTCCAGCTCGAGGGGAGAGTGGCTATTCTAGTGGAAGACCAATTCTCGAAAGAGTCAAGGTTCCGACATACTCTGGTTACAGCGCATGACGCTGATGATGTCGCGCAATGCGTAAACAAGTTTAGCGTCCACGCACGAGGCACGTATTGGCAGTACGATTTATTTGGCTGAGAATAACGTTAGCCAAGAAGACCGAGTTAATTGCCGCTTCGCGTTTGGTTTATGCACAAGCGTGAACGCGACGGGTAACCCGTGGGAGGACCGAAGGTCAAAGGGACCAAGGAATGTGCAAAGGTAGATGGCACTGAGCTTGCGATGTCCGATGTTCGAATTGGCAAAGGGTCGAATGCATGGGCGAGGTAATGGCCTTGTGATTTGCAGTCCAGCGCAGCCAACCGAGAGAGAAACTGCAAGGCTGATTACACCCTGCGGCCCGGTTCATTGCCCAGCGATGTCTGAGAACGAGAAATCTCGTGGAATTGAAATTCCTGAGGAATGTCTACGACTTGGAATAGTTAGCCCGTGTCACATCGGAGGTGCCAACCTGATGTCTTTGTACAAATCGACCTGTCAATCTCATCGAACCTGCCAGTCAGTTACTTCACTGCTTGGATGCTGACCTTGCCTTTCTTGGTTTGACGTATCTTTTTACTGTCGCGATTCTACGATTCTGTTTTTCAGAGCCGACACGACTGAATAATTCTCACGTTTTCGTCGGAGCTGCTTCCACCTATGTCTAATTAACACGAGCTCTGCACGCCCAAGCAGATTGCACCTCTGACGCAAACGGAAAGGTTATGCTAATTCAATCGGCGACGTGCATTGTCTCTGCAAGTCTGGTAAACAAGTCAAAGAAGGCAGATGGAGAGACAGTGACTTCGGCCGAGTCTCCTTCCGGCATGATCCCGATCCTCTTTGGCTCGACTCTATTATGGTCGTTCGAACCTAATGTCGTCATTGAGTCATTGCACCAGCGTCGAGATACAAGAATTTATCCATATAGCCGATCGATCGTATCGACCTGGTAAGCTGACGGAAAATTTATGTGTATCGGGGTATTAGTATGATTGGTATGCAAGCAATGATCACGGGAAGGTGGAATGACGATTAGTAAACTTTTGTAACAGTAGCAAAACTTTAATAACTCTTTTAACGAATGATAGGAACTTTTATGCTTAATTGTAAATTTGATTTTCAGAACGTGTGGTAGTTTTTGTTGGAAAACATAACTATCATTAGTAGAACGAATTTAGGCAAATCAACCTTGTTTTTGGCTCCATGATGTCTAAGCGTGTAAATTATTGTTTACTACGAAGCATCAAGCGATCTAGCACGTTGTTGAGTCAGACAAGAGACAGGCTGATACAACCGACACAGCCCAGATCCGATTTTATCGTCATCGAAGCGCACGCACAGCGCAAGCGCAGTAAAGTCCCTAGAGAAATTACTACGAAAACTACGGAATCACACGTTGCGCATTCGTATTTACGATGGAAACTGATAGACCAACTTCCTTTGTACAAATTTCTGTTACTTATTGTTCCCAAGTCAGCCTCTCCTCTGGTTCAGAATTACTAACCTTACCGGTCGAGTGCAAAGATAAAATGCATGATCAGTCTGCAAGGACGCGTGTCTGACTATTGATCGTATAGGCAGCTAATCGACTCGTACAAACAAGTTTTTATATTTAACGCAGAAGTTGTTGTTACAATCACTATGATAAACCTGCAACTTCAGCCTTCTTGCTTGCTTGTCAGACGATCTTTCTCATGTTCCTCTTTATTTATTCATTAGGAATTTTAAGGCAGAGTGCAATCCGTCTTCAATAAACTTAAACCGAGTCAAATATTTTATAACGGTACTGATTAACGAGTCACGGTCGTTTGCACAGTTGTTTTCAAATGTGTACATTCCACAGGCTTGTATTACGTGATATCTTCTAACACTTTTGAAGTTTCCTTGTTTTACCCACCTAACCGCGATAAGTTTTCCTTAAGCTATCAAAACATCTGCTTCGTGTTCATAGATAATCAATAACACGATAATCGACTTACCCGATATTCAAACTTGAGCTTCTTCTATGTGCTTCTGCCTTGATTTCCATGCAAACGCGCGTTCCTCGTTCTTCTTCGCGAATCACCAATTGCATTTATGCCGATGAGACTGCCAGACGAATCTCGATGCGGTTTTAACGAATTATCCAAGTTATCGCAGAAGCGTCGAGACACGAGTACGCGATTGATTGCGTCCTGCCACGACACTCCATTAATTCAATGCGATTTTGCCCAGAAATTAAAACCTGACACGATTAGGAATAATCAAAACAATAACTGCCATTAGTTCGCCACAAAGTAAATTCTCCTTTGTCAGTTCATTATTAATACAGCACCAACTGTCATTGCACGGTTTGTTGTGCGCTTCACGACATTGAAGTAAAGTGATAAAAAATTCCTTGAGCACAGTCAGGAAACAACTTCACACTATATTTCCTATCTCTCTTTGCCGATTGAAGAGCCGTGGCACTGAAATGTCGCGTGCACTCCATGGTCGTCCATTCATAAAAGATGCGTCGCGAAAGGTCACGCGTACGCAAAATCCGTCAAATAACTAGGATACTGGTTGTTAAGGTCGTTGTGTGGTTCGTACTGCTGATTAGAGCGATGGAACGATAATGAAGGAGAGGAGCTCAGGGTCACGACGACACCGAACGTTCGGCGGTTGGCGCTAGACTGAATCGACGCCGAGTCTTTGCTCGGCTTGTCTTCTCCTCTGCAAGAGACGCTCCCCCCCGGCACACACGTTCGTACGTAAAATTACAGTCGTTCGCGTACTGGCTGCGCTGCTGTGCGCATTACAAATTACACGCTACACAGAAATCTGGTTACATACATTTCATTTCGATGCACTTATTTTCACCAATAACAGGTCAGTCTTCAGGTTTGACCATTAGCCACGTCCTGTGACATTTTCGATTATTTCATTCCTGCTGTTAGCTTCTCAGACTGTATACGAAAGTGACAGCAAAATTGGCCAAGTGATTAATATAAATCACAGGTAATTAGGAATAAATAACGGCGAGATTCTGGTATTCAATGACATTGGGCGACGGATGGAGTAATGAAGAAAAACAGTAAGAATAAAAAATGAGTATTGGAATGGAAAAGGAAGAAGGGAATTTAGGTCAACTGATTATTTTCTATAACAATGTGAAAATGTGGTATGTTACATTGTTATCATCGTGAGACAAACACGATAACGCTTTTCGACATAATGAGATAAAAATATCATATTGTTCAACTATGATATACGTATGTATACACTGTCCGATATGGTCGATGAATCAACTGAATTTTCTGGATCATTTCATCGTAAGGTTTAGCGCAACCAGGCGACAGTTAAATTAATATAAATTGCGTGAATTAAATCATTCAATATTAAAAGGTCGTAAAAGCAATTGGCACTACTTACCTGACGAAGAATCTGCAGCGGAGATACAACTATTATTTCAACAGTTACAAATATTTACCAATATTTCAACCTTTTTTATTCGTGTTAACCTACCAGTTAATACAGTACCAACATCCTCACAATTAAATAATATACTTATTACTTCCATCATTCAAATAACGCACGCCTGAGGGCCGTCCACCTGATACACAGTGCAGATAGAATGTTGCCATTCCTCAGGCGCTCGACTCAGAGTTCAGGGTACTCGACCACAACAAAGGCTAATACAACTGGTTTCAAATTATTTTTCGTTTATTTCTTCGACGACAGAAGAAACTGAATCAAGATAAAAAGATGCGTTGCGACTCCCCCGAAAATCTAGAATCAAAGTTATTTTTCTTCTTGCACTCAGCGATATCACGACATTAATTATCCGGCTGATTAAAAGTCACCCTATACAAATACTTACACCCTTGAGAAGCCTAGCGTCTATGACAGTTCCTTTGGCGTCAAAAGTATTGTTACTGTGAAGCAGTTGCAACGAGAAGGTTTGCAGCTGCAATCACACTCAGTTATCGGACTGGTCGATCGGTGGTTGTGCAGTAAACTCATTGTAGAAATAATACATTTGACATACCTCGTACTTAACGTCAAAGTCAGCAGTGTCAATGAGCATCTCGTGAATAAGATTTCCCGTGCGTAGTGCTTCGTTTTTCGTTGCCTCGCACGTCCATACTATTGCAAACAACTTGACCGAATAATAAAATATGCACATGACGGAGTACCCCAACCAAACGTTTTTCTTCACGTGACTCTCTACGTTACCGACTTGCCTGAGAATAACAAAGTACACACTGAAAATGAGTTCGGTAAAGGTTAGTACTAAAGTGGTGCCAACGTGAAAGCCAAATCCATTGTTCAGCTGCCGTACAGCTTCGCTCAATGTGTGGTGCCTCTCCTCGAGTGCCTTCAATTCCAGTAGAATTATCGGATTGTGGCACTGGTGATTGACTCTTGGGAGAAGATGCGGTTTATCTGTTATTACGTAACGCCGAAGTCCGTGAAGATTCTCATTGATATTTTTGAATCCGACGCGAAGCACGTAGACGCAATTGACGTATAGCATGTCGAGCGCATAGACCGTTATTATCGAATACATTAAGAGACATTTATGCGCAGTATTTATATTGTTCAGTGAATAAATATTTGACGCTTGTACGGACAGTATGAAAATTCCAAAAATGTCCTTTCCATGAACCACCCGGGACATTCGGATGAAATTTTTTTCGGTAAATGTCCAAGATATGGCATTGAGTTGCTGAAGTAATTTCAATTTGGTTTTCATATAGAACAACGAAAGAATGCAGATCAGGGTAGTTAGTAATAGATATAAATTTACTTGTATTAATCTGGGAACACTGTAGTATTTTAACTTGTCGGCCGTATCGAAGCTACGTATCGAAATATATGTTGTCAGAAGAATGTACGTTAGGATTGCTGTAAACGAATAAATGAATCTCCACTTCGAATATGCTATTTCACGATTGTTTGACTTTATCTTGTATGGGAAAAATCCGTAGAAACGACAGAGCAGAAAACACGGACCCATCAGAGACACTAAATCCCTAGCTCGAAAAAGTTTACACTTTTTAAGCATATTTTTTATTCATTATAATTTATACGGCTTTTAGATGGCAAATGCTAAGCCAAGACTGACTTGACGTGGCTGATCGTTTGTTGGCTATTGAGTTACCATGACGATAAATCGATCAGCGTTTATCACACGGTGGGATGCACTTTGTAAATTACTGTATTGCACGGTTGCACCTCGGGAATTCATAGTGACTTAAAAGCTGCAACTCGAATTGCAATTTACTGAACGAACGATGGTTGACTCCACAGTGTCAAGGAATTAAACAAATTCATTATTAATGAAAAACTAGCGCGCCACACGCGGCCTTCCGGCCGCAGTGGCTTGCCGCCTTGCATCGCTTCGCGAAAAAAAAAAATATACGTAAATTATTCTTTCAGAGTATCGCCATAAAAACTTCGTAGAATTAATCGTCGGGTTTGTAGAACGATACGTGATATGCCAGATATTCCTCTTGGAGCGAAAGATCCTAAGATAAAAGTGTAGAGTATTTAATCAATTAATTCGAAATAGCATACATTTTCAGCGATCGCGATCAGTCGATTAGTATCGACCTGGGATCGATTCTTGATAACCTCGACAGCTTCTACCGACTACGGACATGAAGATTGTCACTATTCCTTGCTGTATTAAATATTTAACCTAGTCCCGTTCTCGGTAGTCTCTAATGGCCGCACGCGATACACGAATGAGTCTCTCGTCACCTGGACAAATTCTCGGCAGTTGCTCTCGAGGAAGTCTCGAGTGTCACCGATGCTAGAGAACCAGGCCTGAGGATTGCGCTGAAGTGCCGACAGGTGTGAATTATCTAAGACCCAATTGAGTTTATTGACTAAAAAAGTGTTACGTATTGCACGAGTGTGTTAATGGTCTGATAAAAAAAAATATAATAATAATAATGAAATATAAAATGCACCGAGAACGAATAAATCTGATACTTCTGCAAGTTATGACATTCAGCTACAAAGCGATCGGACTCGCCACCTTCTCGATCCGATCAGAAAGCTTCAGGAGCCCGAAAGACTCCAAGGTGTCCGTAGACCCCGGAAACCCTAACGAAACCACCAAAGACGATATTTCATTGAAATTCGTCTATTCGAGATGCAGCAGCGTGTACAACGTCTTACTCGGCTGTTTCTTGTTCGGGATGAATTACTCGGGCATTCCGTCCATCTACTCCACGTCGTATTTTAACAATACGTCATTGGTTCAAATAATCGAAACGACTCAGGCAGTTTGCAGCATCGTCGTGGTGACCACAGCAATGTTTGTCTACACCGTCAAGCAGAAGACTGCAGTGCGAATCGCTGGTAGGATCATCCAGATGGATCGTATCTTGCTGAGGATGGATGATGTATTTCGCGACAACATCAGCACCTGGCCCTCTCTGTGTTACTTCCTGGGGAGCGTTGGACTCTTGGTAAATCATTTGACCTTGGAGGTGATAGCCTTCGATGAGGACGTGATATCCTTGTTTGCCGTGACGTTTCCCTCCTTCATCATCTACTGGCTGATGCTCCAGTACATCTTCGTGGTGAACCTGATCGGACGCAGGTTCAAGGCCACCAACCGCGCGCTGCGTGGTCTCATCCCGAGGAGCAACGTTGCTGCTGACTTTTATCCAGGAATCCCTCTGAACTTGCCTGGATACGTCGTAGCCAATAATTCAGCAACCGGAAGTATAAGGAAGCTCCAGCTGGTCTACATGACCCTCTGCGAAGTCTGCCTCGAGGTCTCCGAATATTATGGAGTTCCTATTCTACTCGCTATTACGTATTGTTTTTATTCCTTGGTCTACAACGCTTATTATGTTTTGGGTCCGTTCGTTATGTCCAGGGAGGAGATGGAATTTCTAATTGTATTAAATTCTATCTCCTGGGTTGTCATCCTTGTATCTCCTATTGCTGTTCTTGCCTGGAGCGTTACCAAGACTGCGACTGAGGTAATCGTCGGATATTTCAATTTAAAATGTAAATCGGAACATTCCCGAGTTTTTGCTCCTTTCGAATTGACTTTCAGGCAAAACGAACCAGTGGTGTCGTTCACAAGCTGTTAGATAGTGCGCTGAGCCGCGAAGCTAAGATTGAGGTAAATTTACCTCGATTGGACTGATCTTTGTGGGTTTTTTTTTTTGAATATGGAAATATTCAGTGAAATTGTATGGGTACAAGAAAAGAATCAATCGTCTGAAATCTTTCGTTTCAGCTTAAACAATTTTCTCTGCAGCTTCTTCACAAGAACGTTTCCTTCTCTGCTTTCGAATTCTTCACTCTGGACTTCACTCTGCTTCATTCGGTAAGAATAAACGGGAGGACGGCAACTTTTTATCTTTTTCTATTAAATTCACGACTGTTCCAGATACTCAGCGCGGCGGCCACTTATCTCATAATTCTTCTTCAGTTCCAAATGAGCGAAAATTAGCAATCCAGAAGTCACGAGTCTTGAATCGATTGATTTAAAAAATTGTCAAATTCGAATATGATGTAGCTCATTTTGTAAATCATATAAAGGTTCTTGGAAATTTATTTGACAACAGGATATTTCCTTTAGTATTAATGATCGTTTATTAATAACATATTCCGGCTAATCTACACACTGACTTATGTATTTACAGTGGTACAGAGTAATAACTTTGGAACGTGATTATATCGCAGCTGACCTACAAATCTTTTTTTTTATAAAAAAAAAATTATCAATTTCAATATTAAGCAGATTCCAAAAAAAAAGTAAAAAATCTAGCTGAGGTATAGTCACGTTCAAAATTACATAGATATTAGCTCGGCAATAGGCTCCATAACGCTTCTCGAGGGTTTCCCCCTGAAGTTGTCTTCAAGAGTTTCTCCCTTTTTTTTCCTGATTCTAATTTCCCCTCTTTCCTTCATCCGCAACGATTTCGACTGATCAGCTAAGTAATCACAACCAAATAATACTACAAAGTCCGCAGCATCCAAGCTGCAGCATCTACACTCAGCAGTGCATTCGCTTTATTGGCAAATTCCTCTTAGCTATACGAATAATCAACATTTTTAACATCTTTAACAGACAATCTTAAGCGCGCGTGATTACGTCAGATTACACGTGTATAAAATACCCTCGATAAGATAAATTGCATCACAAATAACGTGGATCGTCAGCTGGATTTCAGTGTCAATGACCCTTGATTCGAGTGGCGAGCGGTATTTATTATTTTTAAATATCACTTACACTTACGATAACGAACAGCAATTACTTTCCGTTGTCAGAAAACTTTTAAACGAGTAGCCACTTTCTGCCGTTATTTTCTAAATAATTTTTTTTATCGCCACCAATTAAAATTTCTTAATGATTCGCATCGCCTGACTAGAAGCAAAAGTAAAACTGGCCGAAAATTCTATGTTTACACACACTTTTGCTTTTAGTCACCCGGTATACCTTCTGACAGTGATGCACTTTTTAATTAACAATAAGCTACGAACAAGTTGATTTCAATTATACATATATTCCATGTACATTTATAACGTTCGTAAGCACACACACGCATTCTTAAATATACACGCACGCTCAAAAAAACACACACGCTCGTCAATATCCGAAGGACTGGAGTATCCGCGTTCGCAAAGCTCATGAAAAAGTGGAAGTGGGCGTGGTCTTGCAAAATGGTCACGAGACTCAAAATTCTTAAAACGGGGTTCCTTTGGCATTTTTTTTCAATCTTCTCGATTTACTAACACAATCCGAGCCAAGGTACTGGACCGGCAGGACGAACAGTCGATTCAATTTTGTTTCACCGATCTTAGTCTCCTTCTTGGTTAACGATACTGGTCTGAATCGTGAAAATTACGTGAAAATAGAACATTTCGACGACGTCGAGTCTTGTGTGCGTTTTTCCAATGGTCGATAAAGAAGATCGATTCGTTTACGTTGACAATGCGACATTGGCCGGTCAGAAGTCAATTACCAGAGGCAATTCCTATTTTCTTTTAAGTTAAAAATTCTTCTATTGAACAGTCATTAAGTATGTCTGTCACGATTTACCTAATACGATAATTCCTAATAATCTTTCTGCTTGACAGTAAGCAAATTCGTGTAAAACGTTTACCAAAAATCGGCATATTTATCTCTCTCTCTGCTTCTTCCTCTCCCTCTGACTCGATCACTAATAAGCATCGAAATTTCATTAAAATTCCACGCAGTCGACTGGTCCTCATCCCGTCGACCGTCTCAAAAAGACTTCAATAGCAAAGCCACTAGACGTAATACAGACACCAAAATATATTGTTCTGTTATCATTTAAAATGTTACCAATGACACTAAGATTCGACGTACCGTTACGATTAGCTTAATTTATCTTTTTCAATTTTTTTTTCAATTTCCTCTTTCTTAAATCCCTCTCCATCCACGCATCCATGCACCCACGGATGTACGCAGGAAAAACGTCCACACGGCGTTCAACGAATTACCGAATTGCCGGACGTGAACGCCAGCAGAAATGTTCGGATGGCAATTAAATAAACGTGGTATAAAATTCCCTGGCGATTTCTATTCTAATATCTATAATAGACCTAAGCGTTCGCAGACCTACCCGCCTAAGTCTGCCTAAGGCTCGTTGGACGTCGCTCGTTAAACGGAAGTCTCGGCGGAAGTAGTGCCATTCGCCTTGAGTGAGCTAGAAGTCTCCTTCGATCGAATTAAGTCAACCTAGAAACATTTCCATGTGGCATTGTTAGCTCAAGCGGGCGATCCTTCCAATCAACATTTCTTCTCAACGCTACGATTTCATTCGACCGAACTGACCACTTTTCCCAGTTCAATAGCCTCCTATTGGCTCATGCAGTGGCCGCGCGGCCCGAACTCGGCTACCGGAAGCCATGCGACTTTACTAGATATACCAGATTCAATATAGGGTTAGCAATGTCGCTGCACTGTATATGCATGGGTGCATGAACGGATGAAGGTATCTATCGATGAATCGATGAATGATTACGTTTTTGTGTATCACGTATAATATGGATTCTACGAAAGCATAATGTGTCGATAATAGAATCTCTTCCTTTTTTTTTTTTTTTTCTAAAATTTTACTCACAGCAGATATACATAGGGTGTGTTGCATGCCGGTGTGTGGTGCTCTGGCCGTGTGTGTCTTGCCTTGTGCTTTGGTGGTGGTGGTGTTGATGATTAGAATTTAGAGTCAGTTACACATTTCACCTTAATAGAGATCCCACCGTCATCCTCGTCTTCCTCGGTCATCGTAGTGAGCCTCGTCATCTCGTCAGCCAATAAGGAACCTTCCTTCTTTGGATGCTTCTTTGGCTTGCCAACGCTGTAATACCAAATGATGACGTTATCAGACTTCTACGGAAGTGAATATACCTGAAAGAAACGTACTTAATCATTTTAGGTTGGTTCGACTTCTCGGAGCTATTGCCTTCGTTGACCTGCTGCCAAATTCCGGTCTTGTTAACCTCTTCGCTAATGTTGATACTGGTCAGAGGGATCTTCATGATGTTCCCATTGGCCAGGGGGATCTGTAGATTGCCCGAGGGTCCGAAGCCAAGGGATTCGTTTGGATCCTGAGGGACCAATCAAGGAATCGACTGAACTTTAGTCGGGTCTAGATTGTCAACAGCCATAAAGCAGCGTAGCCATGCGTTTCAATTGATTCATATAGACGCAATATATATGTATAAGTATGTCTATAAATGTATGAATATGATATAAGAAATGACTGAACTATGATCTATGCAAGTGTAACGTACCGATGAGTGGCGAAGGATCGATTGATTTTTCTATTTTTCTAGTTTCTCATTAAACTCCCTCGAGTCTTCAGAAATACTTACTCGAGAGAATCGAATCGACTCGCTTCCAGCACTGTGGATCATGGAGTCATGAGTCAGAACGTTTAATCGTGTCAATTAGCGCTAAAAGCCTCAGAGGCTAGAGGGTCGGAAGTAAAAGGCTAGAAGAGTGAAAATTGAAACAATAAAAAATGGAAAGAAAGGAGCGAGGAGAAAAATTGCGGACGCATGAAAAGAAAAAAAAAGAATTCTAGTCTAGTTGCAAGTGCATATTCGTCTAATGGAATATCTCCGTACCTCAAAAATCGAATCCAGTTGCAGGTTTAGTGAAAAGAACACGTATGGAGATCAAGATGATGGGGACATAGAGTGAATAGAATAGAATTAGAGAGGAGCGGTGCTACAGTGAGAGACTGTGTGAACATAGCAGCCAATAAGGTGCGCGTGCCGGCCAATACGCACACTCAATACAAACATAATATTCGGTGAGTAAAATCATAATATATTTACAGGAAATTATGGATAATAACAATAAACGATAAACGTTTAAACAACAACGAAACACATAGATGCGATGTTTCATCTAACTGTAAAATATGCAGGTTCCATTACCACTGTTAAAAAGAAAAAAAAAAGTACGAACTTTTCGTTCTTGATTTTTATATTAATAGAAAATTCTCTAAATTCTTGAAATCGAGGTCCGCGTCACGACGTAATACAGACATATATACTGCATTATCGGTAACTTTGAATAAAAATTGTCGTGAATCGAACCCTTCGATCTCCTTGTTCCATCTTCTTCTAGTCATTACGAGTGTTTCGATCTATCGAAAAGCGCGCAACGATATACGAATACAGATAGAGGCTATGTGATGTAGCGGTTATCAAAGTATCTAAGAGGTGGCGTACCTTCTTTAATTGTTATTAATTACTAACAATTACGAATGATATAGTACAAAGTTTTAGGTCGGCTTAGAGTTAGTTCAATCATTTGATAATTCAATATAGTCATTGTCGTGTCTGTAATACTGATTAGAACTGCTTAGGCTAGCTTGTCTCAAATGAGAGACTTTGATTGGACAAATATTAATTGAGGGGTCGCTCAAACTTTTGGCACAGATATTTATCACATTTACTACGCTTATTTCGTTTTATATCAATTGTTCTCCGTTTCTTCCCTCCCTAATACTTGTTAATCTCTTCTATAATCGTGTTTCTCTCTCTCTCTCTCCCTCTTTCTCTCTCTCTCTTTCTTTCCCTCTCAAGTACAAAACCTTTCACGAGAGTATCAGCCGTCGTAGAGAGTGATTTTATCGTAATCGGATAGTGCTATAGTGATCACGGGTCTCGCAGACCCATGGTCACTACTCGTGTGCTATTTACGACAGGTAATGGCCCTTAGAATTCGAGTCACGGTGCTAACCTCGCCACTCTCCAGCTGGCGAAGGTCATCCGCGTGCTTCTTGCTGGGCTCCGGCATCACGTCGTCCAGAATTTTCAGTTCTCGTTGAGTGAACACGAGATCCAAAGATTTTCGAATGCCGATCATCACCACCAGCTGCAAAGTTCATCATCAGTTGCAATCAATGCAATCAATCGAGTCAATTAAATCCAATAGGGGCTCGACTTACCATTAAGGGGAAGAGAATTGAAGTGATGCTGAATGACTTGATTATCCAAAGACACGCGAGGCAGGTCAGTTGTATTATTGTGAACATGTGAACGCGTTTTAGGGGAACCTACGGGCAAAGACAATAATCATTGACCAAGTGAAAGGCATTGTGATAATTTTGTTAATTTAGGTAAAATCTTTCTCACTTGTCGCAGGAACATATAATCCGGTTGATACTTGACTGGCATTAACATTATAAGAATCCTATCAAAGAACTGAAGTCCCTTGAGCGACGCTACACCCATGTACAGGAAGACACCAAAGAGAACCGGCATCGGTATGTGCTTCAGCATTGGCGTTAGAAGCACAGAACAGCCGATCATTAGGAATATTAGAATGTGAGTGACTCGCTGTTCGCGGACTCCAAGGAATTGCGGCTTCTCTCCAGGAGCCGCGCACTCCGACTCCAGTTTCAATGAATTCACGTGATTAATGGAAAGGACAGTTGCTGCCACGAACCACGGTAGACCCATCACCGAACACACTTCGATCAAGATGGCCAACACGAATAGATCCAAGTGGTAACCGCATCCTTTCTGATGAAGAAAATTGTACAAAATAATCGTTTGCGCTGGATTTAATAATAATGGAACTTAAAGAATTTTCTAAATACGAATTTATACTTTTAATTTGTTTTCCTTCCTGTTGACGATCACTGCGGTGATTTGTTGATCCATGAAAATCAATATGGTGCCGAGTAGAGCTGGTAGACAAGCTACTATCGCGCTCCACCATGGATTCTCCTGGAACGGCCAGATCATCCATCCGCGACCTTCGAGCGTTGGCTTGAACTCTACGGGAACCTCCAATTTTGGTGTAGAAATACCCACGACATTGTCCAAAATGGTCATGGAAAAAATGGCGATTATAACTGCAAAGTCGCTCACGATTTGGCGCACCTGGAACGATCGTTCATTTATTTATTTCTCCTAAACACTTTCGAGCGACTATACCAAATAGACGTGTGGTAAGAATATTATAAAAATAGTTACCTTAGACGGGAAAAACAGTGCGTTCTTAAAGTCCTTCAGTTCGACGGAGAGCAGGAAGGTGCCCATGAATAAAATAATTGACATGAGGAACACATCGGGTACATAGTGGGGCGTACCGCAGCCTCCACCCTCCAGAGTACCGTTGTAATTCTGACAACCAATTTGATCCAAGGACGTCCAATTAATATTTTCGTAGCTCGACGAATAGGTCTGATTCGGTGGTTTGCACCAGCAATCGTAATTCAAGATTTCGTCCCCATGAGTGTTTATGGGATACTTCTTTCCAATGGAGAGAACATTTTCCACAGCCTAAAAGATCAATTGACTCTCTGAATATCCGTCCTAGGGATTAAGTACGAGTCTTAGACAGAAATGCAAATTGCAAGGCTTGGCAAATTAAATGTATTTGCTAGCTGACAATTATTCGCAAGCTCTCCTGGAAGCCAGCAAGGCAATCGGCTGACCTACGAGAGGGTTCAATCCAGCTTCTGCTGACGATGCAGCTTATATCAAGCTCACACTTTAAGGCCTTCTAATTAGTCCAGGAGCACGTGAGCTCACGCCCGGCATCGATAAATGTTACGTAACAGAGTTGCCAGTAGCAAAATTCAATGACAGAGCTTGCAAGTTGCATATCCGAAAAAAGTAAAAAAAAAAAATTAACATCTCCCAGGCTTACCTTGTAAATAAATATAAAGGCGATAAGGGTAGCAAAATTTTCCTCTGTAAAACGCGTTATGTAGCAAACAAACGCACTGGCGTCGATGGCAACCAGAAGCATCAGGATCACAGCGATCCACGTGCCGATCCAAAAGCGAAACGACATGTAGTTCCAATCGGCACTCCTGCGTGAAGCAACGAAGATTCATGTGAAAGATCAGATAGCCAAGGGAAAGCAAAATTACATAAGGCCCAGGATGAGGGACTCACTTGCAGAACTCGTAGACTATCGTCTCGAAGACGAGAACGGGTCCGGTCGAGCCCAGAATGGTGAGAGGCTGTCCGGAGAAGAATCCGTAACCGATTCCGCAGACAAATCCAGAGACCAAGGACTCCATGGCCGCCATGTGCTTTCCAGTGGCTTCGCTGAGGAGTCCTCCGAAGGTGATGATGGGCGAAAGGCACGCGAAATAGAGAAAAATGAAGGAGGCTACGCATTGAAGTGCCAGAGCATCTTTGAAATCGGACACATAAAACGGAGCTTTTCTCTTAATGTCATTGATCAGTCCGCCGAAGAGCTTTCCGGTTCTCGAAAGTCCAGATTCCTCCCGGAGTTTTTGTTCGTCGGCCTCCTCGTCGAATTCCTCCTTTGGTTTCTCTTCCTTTGGCCTCTTTCTTATGTCCTGCCATAACATCAAACGTCACTGAGTATCGAATTATATTTTGAATTTTTTTTTTTCATAAAATTTCATATACCTGAGAAGGTATGGCTGCTGGAGGTTCTATTCTAATAGTTGGATCCCACTCGCCAGGTGGCAGCACGGTGACTGCATCAAGGAATTCGTCAACACCTGCCAAAAGGTGGTTCCTGTTCTTGGCCTTGTAAGCCACGTCATGAAATACCTCATCAGACATCAAAGTCGCCATGGCGCGTCCAATCTCATGGAATCCTGAGATGCCACCCTGAAATCAGAAGTACTCATTGCAAATATATGAAGTGACCGAGTCATCGAATTACAGGATATTCCAGCGACTTCTGAGCTACAATCGATATCAGACTAGCTCAAAGAACAAGGGATCAATCACCTAAGAGGATTTCCACTTGACCCAGCAATTGATCAAAATATTAGGTCTGGCGGTAAAGACGAGTAAATTCCTTACCGTTGGTCCAAGAAGCACAAAGATAAATCTCGTTGGCACTGGCACCTCCGTCAAATCCCCCATAATACCAGCTTGGCTTAAGCGGATAAAGGCGGACAAGGTCTTGTCTAGAAAATCGACCTCACCCACCAGAATATTACTGGCTTCCGCCCCAGGTGGTATTTTTCGCATGAAATGTGTATTGCCCTAAAATTTGGTTGGAAGAGTTAAAGAAGAAAAATCAATCAATATTTATTTCCTTCAACCCTAAGGATAAAAGTCTCGACTAACTTTGTGATTGATGTCGCCATTCTCTAACCCGGTTGAGCTGTGGTTTCTGCTGATGGAGATGCTGCTGGGGCTACGGTCCATTCCATTCGATGGTTCCTGGCCTGAAAGTCAATCTGGCTTACTGCTTACTGCCACTACTGTCTTATACAGAGCGTATCTTGATAAAAGCAACAGAGAAGCAAGAGAAGCTTAGAGCTGGTTATCCAACCACCCGGGGACACCTGAGGTCGTCCTGGGAGACGCAAAAGTCATTAGGGCCAAAGGTACAAGAGGCAAGCTACACGGTTGTCACGCAAAATCCGTAATTGATAATTAAGCAAAGTGATCGCGTGACAGTCGTCAAATCTCATTTCTACGTACGAGCTGGATAACCCCGTATAGTCTATATACTTGACGTTCGTCAGCCGTGCCTTGCGTCGATAAAACGCGAGGAAGTAAGCGAGGAGGGTTCTGCGACTTAAATGAGAATTAAGGTGAAGCCTGTCCCCGTAAATTTTCCTCAAGAAACTTTGCCGCCTTCTCGCGTTAGCTCTGATGAAATTTTCGGTAACCAAGAGAGAGATTCACGAGTAGCCAGGCCGCGCCAAGAAGAAAATAAGATGGCCAATGTAAATTGGTGAAGTTAATCACGAGCGAGGGTTATCGAAATTTTTAAAGAGTCGACAAATCATAAATCCCTTTTACAGACGCAAGACAGGTGACGTGTAAATTTTTATAAATTTTTTTCGATTTCAATCTACTGGATTCTACAACAAAAAAATGTATATTAAGTGTCAAGCTTAGAAAGCGGTTTTACCAAGGTTGCCAGGAATAGCAAGGAAGCGGCCGCCGGAGTTCAGTCCTGCAGCAGCGCCCTGACTTGCCGATCCGGCGATCGCAGGGGCGGAATTCGATTCCTCCACTACAAAGCACGAAATACACGATACGGGTATTGGTTATTTACAATGGACGCGACTGGCGTGCGTTTGCGTTTGCGTGGACCAAAAGGTCAAAGGTTGACTCCCCCGTCGTTCCAGGCAAACGCAACGACGCGTTCACCATCGGCAACACCATACGTTAACATATGACATATGACAGAGAGAAGTAAAATTCCAGATTGAAAAGTCCAAATTATTCTGTAACTCGAGTACCGCTACGATATACCATGTGCACAGTGGGTACAGTCACAGAAAGACTTTTCGTTCCGTGATTGGCGCTGTCGTTATCGTCGTGACGAACAACGCGACAAACAAGGTCGTTAGAGAGAAAAGGCAGCGTCGTTACTCGGTCGACATAGGCAGAGAAATAAACGATTTGAAACGAAGAGACGCGAACGATACGGGAGACACAGTGAGACACGTAAAGAGACATTGAAGTACGAAGACCAATATAAGTTCATGCCCCTAAGCATTTTAACAGTCACCTTATACCGTAGTTAAGGTCATCAGCGAGTCTGTCAATTAATATGCAACAAATAGCTAAGCTAATCATTCCTTTCTGAGTCACGGTTATGAATGAGTCAATGTGCGATGAAATGAAGACGCTTGAAGATCAGAGGGAAATGACGTTAGGTCCTGATGAGAGGGTCGAGAACTTGGTTCCTTGCTTGAGTATGTACCCTTGGCGTTCCTCCCTTATTTTCCTCTGTTTGTTCTCAGACGTTTCGATAAATAAAAAGTCTGAAATTCTCGGTGGGTTTTCTCTAAAAAATATGAGAGAAACGCGAAATACAGGGTTCTGACTTAATTTGCCAGAATCGAGGGGGGAGTGCGTTACGCGTTTTCCGGTGGCAGACATACTGAGACACAGCCAAACGTATTTCAGGAATATCGACCTGGTGAGACCTTAAGGAAGTAAATTCTCCATACGACTCCCTTCTGACATAGGAGCTTATGTTGTTTGGTTTAAAAAATGAAGATTTTTTTTTCAGAAAAAACGTACAGTAGTCTAATATTTGGGTTATGCGATTAAATGAATGAGCGAGTTCGGGATGAATGGTTAGAGAAAAAGTTGGAGAAAATATCGGGAGAATCGGTGAGTTACTTTAAACATCGAGATTACTTGTAGACAGTCGATTCAAGATAAGTTTGAGGAGTTATTACAAATCGTCAAGTGCCTCTACGTTTTTTAGTCGAATTAACGTGCGAGAGAAACGTTAAGGAGGAATATAGTATACCGTAGAGAGCGTAGTAGAGAGTCAACGAATACAGGCCGCTTGTCATTTTCCGCTTCCTGACAGCTTCAAAATTATTTTTCTCCATTTATGTAAACTGACCATTTTCAGATCGATGACCGAAAGCATAAACCGATTTTCGCATTGAATATAGTTATACTAATTAGTTTAACTGTGTCTTCTATTTGCAGTACAAAAATCTTTGACGGAGATTTCCACTTGTTGTCTCCATCTAAAAGTCATAGTCATTCATACATGTGTCTCTCTATTTTATTGAAATGGATCAATAGGCAAATCTTGAGCGTGATAGGGAGTAGCACAAGCGAACGCAGACGGACGTGACCGCTGCCTTAGAGAGCGCAGTAAGGGATGCCGATGCCAATCCACGACACGCCACTGCTCAAACCGACTTGATGTATTTACTACGGAGTTGACTGTGATAGCAAAGTGATATCACGGAAGAAGCAATAGTCCAGTAGAAGAAATGGGGGTGATAGGTAATACAAAGAGAGGGAGAGGACATGCTGCGAAAGAGCGAGAGAGAGAACGACGCTCACAAAACGGCCACACGCAGCAAGGTAGGCAGCACCGTGAAGAATGAAGATTCCGAGCCGATGCATTCTCTGTATACCAGGCAGTCCCCCCACCTATCAGTACTGACCGCCGGGCATTGACTTCGGGAATTCTCGGCAATCTTCGGCATTCGGTCGTATTTACAGTCGGCGTTGATTTAGCCATCAGTGGAATATTATTTTCCATACATTTAACTAATTCGTATTACATTACATAGAGTTAGATTCTAATGAAATATACAAGTGTATATAAAATTCAAAATGTGAGATTAATTTTTTTTCGATTTTAATTTATCAATTTAACGTAGCGATATAATGTTATACTCGATACGTAGATCGGTTTGTGCTTCGGTCAGCTATCGTTCTGAAATTGGTCGGTTCACGTGGATGAGAAAAAAGAAAATATTGAAACTGTCAGAAAGGTATAAACGACAGGCAGTGTGCTAAATCTGCGGATAGGTGATTTATGAAGGAAGACAATACATAGATAAAAAAACGTGGTGAATTATCAAAGTCCATCGAGAGGGATGATTGTGGCGCTCTAACCTTTGAACTGACACATAGCGAACCATGTCGTGAATCCGACTACATGGGGTATGTTGAATTCAGCTGACAAAAATACAAATAGAAATGAGTCACGTATCGATCAAGCATAACAATTTCTATGAGAGTTTGATTATTGCGATTCGACTAACGGCGACCGAAGAGACGCCGACTGAAACTTTGAGAACTCGATCGAACACTGGAAATTTAATTAGTAGTTCCATGAATAGTCTTATCAGGCAAAGCGGGCTAGGGAAATTCGATTAAATTACGTGACGATCAAAGATCAATGTTGACTGGCAGAGATCGATAGGTCGTCGAATGTTTGATTGAATGGCTGATAAGGCGAAGCGTATGGACGAACGTGGATGGCTGTTAATGAATTATGGATACGTTGCCATTGACGACGAGCAGTTGTATTTGAGGTATCAACGATTAAGCGAGCTGCCGAGGTAAGTGGTTAGTCGGTTGTTCGATGATTTGTTAATTCGGTTAATTAGTGAACTGGCAAAGCACGTTAACCTCAAGCCATCCAGGCAGCGGCAGCTGGCCTAAATTATACCTGGAACCAGAAGATAAGGGCCTGATTGGTGCACGGCCTCTTTCGAGAGAAGGGCCGTATTGGAATTAGGGCAGCTGGTGCTGCGAGCGACGTTGGACGCGACCGGCGCGTATGCGTCATCGGCGCTGCGACGCTCCTGCAAATCTGATGTCAACAAGGCATGCATACCACATGAACAGTCACAATCTGTAAAATCCGATGCACAGTACGTCTTTAGTATACCCCTAACGCTGGACCAATTTTTGCGAATCACGCCACCGTGGTTGGGCGGACTTAAATAAAGAAAAACATAAAGTAATAAAAGAAATGATAAAGAAAACAAAAGTACGACTTGGGTCGCACCAAAGAAAATAACGTGAAATCAATTAAATAAAAAGGTCGAAAAAATCCAGAAAGTGCCATCGATATTCTCTCAATTTCGTCTTTCGATTAATTTCCGTGAATTGCCATTTTTCATTATTTCCATCTCAGCGTCATTCCACGTCCACGTTACCTTTCGCCGGAAAGGCGATTTCTGTCCATGCAAATTCATATTCGTTAATAGTTTTTTTTTTTTGTAATACACGTAAAAACTTACTCTTCGATGACGAATGATTTCGTCCAATCTCGGCTAGAGATCTGATTATGGGAAGTCTCGACATATTGTTGTCCTTGCGTCTCTCGTGCTGATGTCGATGTCTCACGAGAAGAGCCTCCCGGACCTGCAAGATCAATAGTCTCAGTGACGTTCAGAAATGAATTCAGGATTACCTGACCTGGTGTCTATATTTCTTTATATTATTCCGAAAATCAATGATCCTCTTACCTTGTCCCTTGATTCGAGTGGCAAAGAACCTTTGCTGATGATGTTGTCCAGGACGAGGTCAGCAATCTGCTCCAGACTGGACGCCTCCATGTCTAGCATTACGGTTCCATTGAGCAAGAGACTCCTCAGTTCAAAGAGAGAATGCAGGGATAAGGTAGCCACGTGGGGTTTGCTCCAGCGATTCCCACCCTCCTCGACGTCTTCTTCGAATTTGATCCATCTGAGAGACACGAGCACGTGATTTTCATCATTTCCTACGAAGGAGCTGAATCTCTTTTGAATCTTACCTGGCCGTCTCCTTCCATTCCATCTCGTCGCCATCTTTGACGAGCTCCTCCATCTCGGAGAAGAGAGGATGGGATTCGTGTGCATCGTCGCCGACTTCTTCGCCAAGGATGAACTGGACCCTCTGAGCTGGTGGTGTGACTGAAATAAAAAGAAAGGAACTAAAGAAACAGAGACTCACGGAGAGTCAATATATCTTGTGTCTAAAACATCAATTCGAGTCCGTAGAAAGAGACAGAACAAAAAGGAATAATAAGAAGAACGCAAGAGATACAGACTAAAGAGAAGAAGAAGAAAAAGAGAAGAAAGAATAGTGAGTGTAGTTAAAAGATATTCCTGATAGTAACAGTAAGTAGCCAGTAATCAGCAGCCAGGAGCAACATCACCAAACCATAGAAATTCTCGAGTCGATCATTCAACCAGAGAATACAAAATTTTCTTTTTCTTTTCCAAGAAGAAGAAACAACTGAGAAAAATCCTCGTTAAAAATGGATAAGAGAGGATACGATCGAGCATGCAGAGTTAAGCAGAACGAGAATATAAAAAATTGAGTGATTCGTCATCTCATTGGCCCCAGCATCTTTGATCTCGCGTCGATTATTATAATTGTGCCAACACCCATTTATGAGATGAGAAATAATAATATTAAGAGTGACTGTCAAAATCAATAAAAAAAATCCTCCGCTCCGTTCTCCATAAATCATGCGTGCGACATGCCTAATATCAAAGGAGTCTGCACCCCATCAATAATGTATCCTGGTACAATACTTTTTTGTCACTCGTGGACGTAAGTATAAGGTATGGGCTTACATAGCGTCTCGCCATCTTGGTCGCAGATGCTAGCAAGACGACCCCTTCGCGGCACCAACAATTGTCCTGCAAAGTCAATGATAAGAGGAAACGTCCTGCAGCTGCGCCTGGTTATCGCTCGAGACTCGTGGTTATCCCACTCGTCTACTTTCCCTCTCGCGCAAGGACATTCTCTCTCGTTCAGTTTTATATAATAGAACGGCAGGAATTTACATGAACGACCTAAACGATCTGAAGGTCATAGTCATCGGGAATAAATCAAATAATTAAAAAGAGCGAGATAGATCTTCACCGAAAGAGATTTTATAAATTGAACACACCCAGAACTCTGACTATTAAATGTACCGTATAGAAGTGCACAGTGCGACAGCTTGGCGACATCGAGCCAAGTACAGAGGTGAATGACCCGAGGAGTCTGTGACAAGTGGTTGGCATGCTGCCAATTCCGCCATGCTGTCACTCTGCCACGTTGACACCTTCCGGTATCAAGGATGCTCACCGGAAGTTACGATATTTCAACAACAGCAACATTCCGAGCTCTCGCTCGGACCGGAATTTCAAAATTCCAAAGACAGCTGACAGGAGTCTCTGAACTTACCAGGCCGATCGATGCCGACGTCATCCTGGTTGTCGAGAGAGGACTGTCGCGAGGGGTGGTGCTTGTGATGTCGACGATGTCGTCGTTCCCCAGGAAGATGTACCCCGACGTAAACCGTGTGTGCCCTATGACCTGGAACATCAAAGCGACGTCTGAAACTTCAGTTCGGCGTAGAGCATTACGCAATCGAAGAAATTTCATCAGGTACCAGAACGATACACGTGTCACTCGTGGGTCTTGAATCGAGTCTAAATAATTAAGGCGCGTTTGCACATCGTCTGCTGATAAAAATGGCCGACTGCGAAAGTAGGTGCACTTTGTGGAGCACGGGTCGATTGATCGTTAACGGAAGGATGGGCGTCGTTCAAGGGCGCAGTCAACGGATCCGTAAATAACCTTAATACCGTAGGATTGGTCAGGTCAGGGTGTCACGATAAAGCGACTAGCGACAGCCGGCGGTGCGGGCAAGCCTTAACGATTTTCGAAGCACCGCCAGCCGTCGCTTCATCGCTTGTGTGCATACTGAAGCCAAATCCACGAGTGAGCCACGGTGTTGCGACCACGACCATCGATAGGTGGAGAAATAAGCCGAGGTCGAGGTCACATGCAAACTCACCCTCGTAATCCTTCTCGGAGAAGGATTGATGAGTGATCCGTGCACCTGGGTCCTTGGAAGCCTCATCGTCGGGTACTCCTCCTGATGCTTGGCTACTGTGCACTGCTCCTCCTCTGGGAGATCTGACGCCTCCAGGACCTCCAGGACCTCCGACGGTTCCGACGCCTCTGGCTCTTGGCTGCATCCAGGGTCTGAGGAGGATAGGTGACGTTTTATCAATCCTGCCTCGAGGCACCTTCGAGACCTCTTGCGAAAGACGTCACTTGTTTTTCGACAGTTTTAAGGTCCCACTTTGAGACCTTCTCTTCTTGGATACGTAAGAGCTAATAATTACAATTTTTTGTCTCTCTCAAGCTCATTATAAATACACATAACTCGAAAGAGCTATTGCTTAACCCATCTTGGTCGTTTATGGGACGTGTTGCTGAAGGTAGGTAAAAAAAAGTCTTGGAAATGTCACGTGTCCTGAAAAAGATTTCTTTTTGACATGCCACGTGCCAGTGACTGATACGCTATACGAATCAAACGGTAAGCTTTTGAAAATTGTGCAAAACAAAAGAATATCGCGTTCCGGCTGAGGGAGTCTGTTGAATTGTTTTCAGGGGAAAAAATCGAGTTTATGTATCTCGTGTGGATCTTTTGATAAATTTGAGTCTGACGGGAGACGTGGGTGTGCGGCCTCTTTGTCGCGCCTCGTACAACCTCATAATTTAACTTCCGTGTAGGAGGACGTTTTATATAATATTTCTCGTAGACCAAGAGTAAGGAAATCCCATTCACTCTACTGTGAGATGCCTAAAGATAATTTTGCTCAATTTAAAATATTATTATTATTAAAAAATATTTCAATTATTACAGTTTGTAAAAATTAAAAAATAAGTTAAAAAATGTACTAAATATTTTAACGAGTAAAACTATATATTTACGAGGCAAACTAAAATTCTAGTATAGTATGTATGAGTGTTTGCCTATCAAAGGCGTGCGAATTTGAAAGTTTTACGTCACGTTGATACTTTCTCAAAGCGTTCGTGATACAAGTAAACGTTGAATTATTAAAATCAATCTAGACACTCTAGACCGAATGAATGTAAGAAAAATGATTATTAAATTCATTAATCAGTTAATGGCAAAGGAAGATCTCTCATTCAAGATACGTATTCAGTTACGTTGGTGATGAACAGAAAACTTTGTTCTGTCGAGATTAATGATAACATGTGCGTAATCCGGGGTTAAGTTGACTGATTAGAGGGTCTGAATTATTTTAGGAGGAAAGATACCGAAAAGATAAGGATTTTGTGATAAGTCCGAATAAATTTGATCCGACGATTCAAGATTATTATTTTCCTTATGAAACGACCCAAATTCGGAAATTCAAAAAAAAATCGTGCACCTCAAATCTTTACCACCCCCCTGCTTCAATCGTCTCTAATAAAAATGAGCTCCTATCACGATAGGACTTGGCACGGTGCAACGTGACGCTTAATCAGAATAGATAATTTCACAATTTCAGGCACGTCGGAAAATTAATAAAAATCCCAATCAGAACGAACGAGAGAATCAAAGCATTGAACATAGCAGCTATACATATACATAGAACACGGAACGTGAGTCCTTAACCTACCGCGTTACTCGCATGTAAAATCTAAGAGACATGCAAGTGTCGCTCGTAACGAACGATACGTTGACTCCTATTGACAAATCATTTTCTCGTCAAGTTTTACGTAAGAGTCGTCTCTTTACGAGAGGTACTTGAAAAAGTAAAAAAAGAATGGCATAAATAAATCCAACCTCATTTCAAAATTTACAATTGACATCTGCACTCAAGATGATTTCCAGCAGCATTTCGCATGCTGGCAAAACCAAGTGCAACTTTTTTATTGCGTTTGATAAACTCATAAAAAATAATTTACTCGAGCCCATTGAAAGTCTCGTTAACCCGTGTCATCAGGGCCATCTGATAAATGCACTGTGAAAAATATACATATATAGCGTACAGTAATGCACGTACCAGAGTTATACACATAAAGTTATATTTCAATTAATTTACGTAAGTTACTATTTCTACAATATTTAATCCAGGTATGTACCGGGTGAGTAATAAAAATGTAGTATAGAAAGGAGGGCGAACCATAGAACCCCAAGGGTACACGTCATTGTCAAATGCCAACGTGGGGCTGCCAAGTGGATAATTACCGTTCAAAGATTATCTACGTACCCGCATGATTACAGGCACGCTTATGTAATGAATTGCAGGGCGTTCAGCGTGTGAGGTTAGAATTTGTGCGAGAACAAAATAATTGTTTAATTGTTCGAGGTCACTCGAATAATCATTTGTTTTCCAAAGGTAAGTACGGTAATTGCCCTTTACCGTAATCACGCGTAACGTACGAGGATGAACTTTCACCCCTGATTACGACGTTGAGCCCAATTTAAAGGAGTCAACACATTTACCCATACTATACTATTTGAAGCAAACGTTGTACCTTGGCTGCGATGAAAAATGACCTCCGTTCTTATCTGGTTGAGAAGATTTCCTGTCTCATCGAATCCATTATTGTTTTATTATCTAAAGATTATTTTCATTCTACATTGTTGTTCGCGACATAAAGATATAAAGATCTCTGTCAACAATAACATAGATATGCGCAAGCGAGTTGAACAATGCTAAATGAAAAAGTCCTTGTGGCAGTTTTTCAGTAGACCAGAATGACGGTATACCGACGTTTGTCAATTGAAACGTCGAAACGACACGAGGGAAATGACGTGTCATTAGTAGCTGCTGAATGTCGCCCGCTTCTACGAGAGTTAATGACTCTACCGCAATTCGCTGACTGCGATAACGATAAGGTTGTAAACTTCCAAAATCATCTAAAAGTTGAATTTTCTGTCATTAGTCTTAAAAAAAAAAATTGCCCCATTACCAACTTTCCCTATATCCAAATACACTGGAACCTCTCATAACTTAATCCTGTTGTGGATTTCAGTATGTATCCACTTTTCTTTATTTTTTCATGTTCATACGAAATTTCTCCATTAGACTGCAATATGATTTTTGAGATTGGCGATTACGATTTTGAGGTAAAAATTGCGAAATTGATCATTTCAAGTGAATTGTGAATTACAAATATTTATTCAGACTGGTCGTGGCAGTTTTCTCTCTCTCACACGTGGCTAGTGACGATGCTCAGCCCCCCCCCCCCC